TGACAAAGTGTTGTTATTCAGCCAGGTTTCCGAGAAGGCGTATATGTCGTAGCATGCGTCGCTGTATGCTAGCTGGTATTCGGCGAGTGAGCTGTTCATGCCACCGACGTTCTGGTAGTATAGCAGAATTTGAGATGCTGGGACGCATGGAACAGTGGGCTGCAATCTGGAAGTGGAGGCAGCATCAGGCAGAGCAACGTCGAAAGAATAAGGGTACTTGCCGTGGAAGGCAGTTTGGAAAGCCCTGTCCCCAGCACTAGACTCAGGGCCGGGACGACTTAGATGGTGGGGGCGTGTGAACTGACCAGGACTGGAACCAGTAGTGGGCGCAGCAGAGCTAGGTGGGTCCAGGGCTTCCATACTGCTTTGTGACGTGCGTCCCAGGCTAGATGAAATGGCTGCTGATGTTCGGCTTGAAACGGAGAATTGGTCGTTGTGATTGAGGGTCTCGGTGTTCTGCAAACGGCATGTCAGCGGGCTTTGGTTCTTCCTGGAAAACACAGGAACGACAGGAAGTAGCTGACCAATGTCAAGATCGGAAGAATACTCGCCAAAATAAGTTGGGTGGAAGATCCCCTCTCCACATCCGACCACAGGCCCGGAACGACGATGATGCGCGGAGACAGCAAGTGGCAGGACTGAGGCGGAGGGATTGGGGACTTCCATGAGGCTTTCTACGATGCGTTCCGAGTTTCGAGATGGAGTTGGCACAGCGGCATTCAAAGTGCTGAAAGTTCGATCGGCATCAGGTATCGAATTTGAATGGTTGAGTGTGTACTTGCCTGTCATAGGAGGTTGGAAGACCCCCAGCCCACATCTAAACTCAGGTCCAGGACGACTGTGATGAACGCAGGCAGGGACGTGCACGACTGTGTTAGAGGAACTGGGGGCTTCCAATAAACTTTCTACAATGCGTCCTGGTTGGCTAGCATGGTACGTCAGGAGTCTAGAAGGCGTTGAACTTGTTACGTCCACGCAACGCGTTAAGTAATTGTTACTGGAAATGGAGGCCGGCTCAGGAAGAGAAAATTTTGATACAAAGCGGTACTTGCCTGTTAGTACAGGCTGGAAGACCTCTTCACCGATTCCGAAACCAGGGCCGGGACGACTTCGGATGAATGGATCTTCAAGCAGCACGACTGGTTCGGAGGGATCAGAGGCTTCCAAGACACTGTGTTGTTGCGTCCCGGATCCACCCGGTCGAGTACCAGTTCTCGAATGGGAATGGGCCTGTCACTGTGCCGGGCCAATCCGAGTGATTTTCGTCACCTTTGACCGGGAATCATCAAACTCGCGGAACTGTATACCTTCCGGACACGACTCACAGGAAAAAGCGACATCTCGTTTGTTTGCACAGACGCCAACTTTGAAGGAGACGAAGTTCAAGGTAGATGGATCTTTCCCTCTGGGAACCAATTTGGTCACCCGAGGTTTTTCGTTGGACTCCATACACAAGCAATCGGTGACGAGAGATGCAATTTCATCGTTTGTAGTGCTAGGATGAAAAGCCGATAAATAGATCCACACCAGATCATCGTTCAGATCAACGGTTCTAACTGAATCGATCGATCCATTCGTCCCACATTGCATCGATTTGTTGTCTGAGCTAGAAGTACGGCGACGCTTCGAAGAACCACTACCAGAATCAAAACGATCAGGTCTAGGCCAACGTGGAGTTGAGCTAGCAGGAATCTTAGAGTCCACTTTGGCTGCCAATGCAGTAACAGCCGAATTCAGTTTTTCAATGTCTTCCTTCACAAAATCCACGTCAGACGATGCGGTCTGAGTCTGAAACGGTTTTGGTGCACTTTTTGCAAGCCATGGTCACAAAAGTTAAAATCTTATTTTTCACGTGAAACCACGACTACCACGTATCGAAAAACTATAGTTGGGACACTACTTGAGCAGAAAGTATGGTAGCACAGTGCAGTGCAGCAAGGATGCAAAAAAAGAGTGATAGAGTGAACAATAACAGATAGTCGCCACCACCGGTGTGTGGGACGATAATTATGATCACAGAATTTCTCTACTAAATCACTAGTCACGCAAAAACCTCCACTTTCCTGAGGTACGGCAAACAAATCTACACTCAACAACACGAAACACGACTGAATCAATTCTAAATCACACGGGTAAAACGTTGATATATAGCCGGCGGGTGACCGTAAGTTTACTCACAAACGACACAATGTTAAAAAAGGTGAATAGGTGTCTATTATTATCAACGATATCCGACGCCATTTTTAAATCCAATATGGTGGCTTCCTATTTCAGAAAAAAATGGGAAATGCTGATGCCGTCCCATCAATATGGATATTTTTGGAATCGGGGAGATTGGAAATCAATATCCGACGCCATTTTGAAATCCATGATGGCAGCTTCCGGTTTGAGAAAAAGCTTTAAATTCGGTTTTTTTTTTAGAATCAGGGTAACGTCTAGAAGCCAGAAATCGAGATCCATTTTGAAGTCTAAGACGGTGGCTTCCGATTTGCGGAAAAGTGTCGAATATCCTAAAATATGGTTATTTTTGAATGGGGATGAGACGTAGATGCCGAAAATTGATATCACGCCGTCTTTAAATCCAAGATGGCAGCTTTGGTTCAGAAAAAAAACTGTGAAATCTGTCAAATACCGATCAATGTGGGTTTTTGGAATCGTGCTGACATCTAGAAGAAAGAAATCGATGTTCGACGCCATCTTGAAATCCAATATGGTGTCTTTCGATTTCAAAAGAAGTGTCAATTAGCCTACAAATGGCATCGAATATCGATTTTCAACATCTACACGTCGTCCTCGTTCCGAAAATACCCAGATCTTAGGGTATTGGACACTTTTTTGCGAAACCCGATGGCCGCCATATTTAATTCCAAAATGGCATCGGCCATCGATTTTCGGCATTCACACGTTATCCTCATTCTAAAAATACCCACATTTTAGGGTATTTAAACGCAAATTCTTCGAGAATCAAAGCACACCCAAGCAAGCTAACACCATCATCTGATAGAGTAAACTTCCTTAATCGAATGGCATTGTTAGTTTACGTGGGAGTGTTTTGATTCTCGAGAATTTTGTGTTTATAGCCATTGTTTACGTTTGGTTGTTCCGCCTTTTTCAATTGTTGGTCTAGATTTGACACTTTCTGAACCCTGATGGCCGCCAATTGGATTCCAAATTGGTATCTGATATCGATTTTTGGAATCTACGCGTTGTCCCTGTTCCGTAAATAACCATATTATAGGGTATTTGACACTTTTTCTAAAACCCTATGGTCGCCATATTGGAGTCCAATATAGCATCGGATATCGGTTATCGGCAGCCACGCGTTGATGTTCCGAAAATACTCATATCTTAGGGTATTTGACACGTTTTATGAAGCTTGATGGCCACCATCTTGGATTCCAAAATGGCGTTGAATATCGATTGTCGGCACCTTTGCGTCGTCTCCGTTCCAAAAATACCCATATTGTAGGGTATTTGAGACTTTCCCTGACTCGGATGGCTGCCATCTTGGACTCGTTAATTTAATTTTCGTGTAATATAATATAATGTATTATTACTACATATAATCCGGATGCCATCCCTATCGGCAACCGATATTGTGTGGATACTATCCGGATACTATATTTGATACCTGCGTCGTCAGGTCGTGACTAGTCGAATGAGCCCCGAATTGAAGTGAAAGTGGAAAAACGAAGGAAGCAGTTTTCGAGGCATTCATTGCGGCAATTGAAACAAGTCTTTGCTTCAAATGAAATGAACTGAAGCACTTGACGAACGAAACAAGGTATAGTCCAGTCATGTTTGAAAAGAGTAATGTTCATCATGACTCCATAACAAGAAACACGATGACTTACACGAAACTGATATTGCTCAAAATGAAGGGATTCTGCGAAGAGTTCATTTTCTTTTCTTTGATTCGAAAATGCAGAACCCTGCGTGGAAGACGGCAAATCGATTCGTTATTTCCCATACAAACTTTTAATCTCTCCCGCAAATCCAAATCATAACCGAATTAGTTCAAATTTGCAGAGTTGCTGAGAACCTCAATATAAATCGAAAGAGCTTGAACCAATGAACCAATGATTTTTTGAGCCTGAACCCTCATTGGTGATTTTTGCACAGTTGAATTTTCCATGTCAATGATGGAATGGGACGTAATATTTCACCAAGGGAAAAAATTGCGAGTCATAGCGAGTCATTTAAATAGATATCTTTATTAAAGTAGTTAAAGTAGTCACCGTCAGTTTTCGTGAACTTCCCCAACACTCACGCATAAAATTTTAGTTTTTGAGTTTTTCGAACACTGCTCCGAAGGCAACCACATCAGCAATAATCATTGATACATGTCCAAAACTCACCAGAGAGACAAATTCCGTTGCGGTTACCGACTTCCAAAAATAACTAAAATAAGAATTACAATTCTACCTCTATTCTATTGAGAGATTTCATGAGAATCTTCAATAAGCGATTGAATTCTGACATTCTGACAAAAAAACCCTCATTCTTTTACCATACCATATACCAAACCCAATTGCAGCCAGAAGTACGAGGAAGGTGCAGGATAATCAAAATATTTATGATTCATTATTATTCCGCTTTAATGGAAAACATTAATTAATATTCCTTTTACGTGTGCGTGTGCCACTTTAAAGTGGAAATTTATGCACTCCACCAGCCGGACCCGCGTGTCTACCGTTTGCATACATGCAGGAACTCCCGTTAACTCTCGTTCCGTAGTTGTCCTCCTCCATGTTCTGTTGTTGTCCGCTCTCTCAACGCGTAAACATAAAATGGAATTTAAATTCCGGTGACGCGACTGGGGAATTATCTGCTGACATTTTTTTTTGTGTAAGGATGAAACCATGGGGACAATTTACCGGACGGAAATAACTTTAACTATTGTTTTAATACGCCACTGCCCGTCGTCGAGCTGCTTTATGATAATTATAATTAATGATGTTTACTCTTCGTTTTTTCTCTCTTTTCTCCCTCCATTGCAGACGTCCCGGTGCACGTGGAAAGCGTTCTGGTTAACGATACTGCTCAGATAAAGTGCGACGTATCATCGAATCTGCCGAACGATCGGATACTGCTGGTCGTGTGGTACAAAGATAATGTACCAATCTACAGGTAAGTGACTGATGATTTTTATTTTAATCAGAAAAATGGACTGGACCGAAGCATTGAATTCTTCAACTTAAACAGTCGTATTGTACGACCCGAACACATGCCACCACCATCATCCGATGGCAAAAAAAAAAGACTAATAGGAACGATTTCTCCACGTCGCTCCATTTTCCGATTCCCGTAGACATCAAAACATCGTCTTTCTTCTCACGTCGCCATTCCCTACAATTTCCCCCCTCATCTTCCCACACCGTTGCTACCACCAGGATAAATGGTGGCCTCCGAGGCTGAAAAATGTCTTGTATTTTTATGCTAAGTATGCGATGTGCATAAATAACATCCCCACCCAGAGTGTAGTAGGTGAACCACATCCCGAAGGGATCACTTTGCTGCTGCCGCGCCGAACCGTAGAAGAAGTAGGGATTCACCTATGGTAGTAAAATGGGAAGAACACTTATGAATTCACAAGCATCGTTCCGAGGGAATTCCAGCACACGGCGCTTCCCGATTCCACTACTGCCACCCATCGGGGTTTGTTATAAACGGGAGCGCAGGTCAAAGGGACAAGCCGGGGAAGTGAAAGTATCATATGAATATTATCTATTTTCTAGATCCTCGTCACCGGCTTTGCCTTCACGTCGTTGCCAATCCAATTTGGTGGGGTTCACTGTTTTTTTTTTGCTTTTCCACTGATCCATGCTGCGGAAACTGGCGAAACTAGCCTCGGGGGGATGTGGTAGAATAGCAGACAGGGTGTACGATGGTTATTGATGTCACTTGGGCAGCATAGCAATTTGAGATTAAGAATTGTAGATCTTAAATAATCTAGTGTTTTGCCTCTTCATCTGAGCTGGAGCATTCTTTAGACGAATCCATAGCAAGCAAACGATCTAATCAACACAAATGTTATGTGTGTTGACTTGCCATTCGTTAGTGATTCAATTTGCATTGAGCTGATTTATTCACCATCTCTTATTTTGAAAGTTTACCCACCTGCGTTTAAATTTGGAAATTAATCTACGATCCCTTCGGATAATCCTAGTTGAACAACAATTTAGAAAAAAAATGGCCAGAAAATGCAACAACCTAATGTTTTTTTTTGTTTCTCCCGAAGCTAGATTCAGTAACCTCAGTCCGCATCGTGCTCTTTTGCCGTGCGGATCTATTTGTTTTTTGCTGAAATAAGTCCTACCGCAACCTAAAAAAAAAACAGAACTTCTCAGAGCTAAGTATCACCTGCAAATGCTCTACCTTCTTCGATTCTTATTCTTCTTCCATCCTTGTTTGGACCTTACCCGAGATAATCGTGCTTGGACATCGATTTGGAAAATTCCTCTTCGATCCTTCAGATTCTTATAGTAATCTGCTTGGAAGTCGATTAAGAGAAACTTACTGGAGCCTAAACGCAAAAGAAAAGAGCAATCTCTAGATGACGAAATTTATTTGAGCCATGAATTGATATGCTCACGGATGATGAGAATGATCCATCATCGAGGAAAAATCCCATTAAACATTCCCGGCTTAATGCCAAGAAGGAAAAGGTCCCCCCTATTGTGATAATAACTACCGAGTCCATGCTCTTTACACGGAACTTTTGAAATTCGTTAAATTCAAGCTCACTTCAAATTGTCAATCAGAGTGAATGCCGTGTATTTACTGAAACCTTGGATGGATTTAAACGTTTTCTCAAGTATTTTACTGAGAAGCAGCACAATTTTTTTATTTACGACACTAAAACTGAACATCTGTTCAAGGTTGTCTTGAAAGGTCTGCCCAATGGTGAATTCCTGGATCAGTATTGGCCACATTTATCGATCCGAGAAGGGATCCTCCATGACGATTAAGACCAATGGCCTGACGGAGTTTCCCTTTGAGGATAGCAAAGTTTTTTTTTTGCAATTAGGCTCGGAAGTCATCTTGACTTGTGAGCCACCGTGTGACCTCGTTAAATAATAAGGTACGATGTGTACAAGAGGTACAACAGGTCCTGAGAATGTTAATTCGAGCAGGGAAATTTCCGTCATAACATTGTAATTTAATTACCTGAACGGAGGCAGGCTTTCCACCCCAACCCCGACAAGAGGGGAGGAGGTATTTGATTTGCACTGCACTTCATACTTCAGCTGGTCTTATTCACAAGGGCCCGAGACTACTTCTGCTCAGAATCCTTTTCTTGTAGAAAATGGCCACTCGCATGCCTTTTTTCAATCATTCTCTTTTAATCATATTTGCGCATCCATTTTTAGCTTAAAGCTAAGATTCTCCTCCCTTCAGTATCGTACGAGTGTTTTGGCAGTGGTACTAACCCTCTCGTTCTTGTGCGTTGTTCTCTGTCTATATTATTAAAATACGTGAATTTTACACACAACAACTCATACAGACGAAAATCTACGGATTGTAGCTGGTTACACATCCCAAAATACCCTCAGAGTTCATCGTAGACTTTTTTCTGGTATTTTTTTATAATTTGCTCCATAATACTCTTGAAAATCATCTGCAGAACACTGTTTGAATTCTAGCTCTTCAAATTATTAACTTTTAACTGCAGTATACTCAAATCTGTTTTTACGACGATTTTGTGTTTTCTGAGGAATGGATTTAGCCATAAGCAAACATGGAAGTGTACTTCGAGTGGGTTCACCGGACGATACGGGTATATATATTCGGAACGGGAACGACGTGTAGAGACTGAAAATCGATAATTCACAGCATTTTGGAATGCAAGATGGCGACTTCCGGTTTGTGAAAAACTGTTATTTAAAATCTTGTTGTCTAAAATTTTCTCAAGTCTTGACGTTTTTCGGTTTCAGCAGTTGATTTAATTGATGCCCAAAAATCATGGGCTGCTCAGTTTTATAAGAGTTTAGACGCAAAGCTTTCACTGCGTACATATTTTATTGGTTATAATTGCCAACTCCGAGAAAAATTAGCATTTGGCGTCATATTTGGCGACCGAAATTACAATCGTCACTAACAGTTAGTGCCAATGAAACTTTGAAGCACTGAACCAAAACTATTCGCAGAAGGCTATGTCCTCATAACAACGCGAAAAGCATCACGATACATCAATAAAACGAATGAAAGTTTGGATTAAACATCGAAGATAAATAAAGTTTGTGTGCGGATTTGTATTGTTACATCTCCGATGCATCATTTAGATAGAATAAAATAAAAATTTAAATTATTTTATGTACAAAGTGATGCAGTCGATAATCGAGCTGAAAATTCAGCCACCTTTCAAACCAATCATGCCTAAAATGTACCGATTATTCATCCTGCATTCTAGCCTGCAATCTAGTTAAATTAGGCAAGTTTTTATAGCGATCCTTGAATGATCCTGCAATAATCAACATGTTCGAAGCCATCCACCAAGCCATCTAGCGGGTCAGCGGAAAACAATTCATGTTGACTTTAAACGGGGAATAAATGATATTTGTTACTCTCAAACTTCCGAAATATATTTCATGGTAAAATGCTTGATATTCGGGACCAATAGAGTTCTTTGATATCCGCAGAAAATTAGGATTAAGAATCAGATATAATTCATCCGGTTGTGATTACATATTAGTGTCAAATATGCCCAAACCTGTGCCAGAACGTGTCTCAGAAGAGTTTATTTAGACAAGATCTGGTTTTTATTAAAGTTTGGAGTCTACAATTCATTTAATTAATAATATTTTTTTGTTTCAGTGTTTGGAATGTATGACAGCTGCGGTTGTGTCTTCTTCTTGTTTCTGAAAAAAATCAAAGAATGCTAAGATTTCTGTGAACTGGCAATATTCAAAGATCAATCCTACATACGTAGACTGATCTCCGTACAAACTGATGTGACCATGGGATAGTGGAAATGGCCGAATTCCAACACAAACCTGTTTCATTTGTCCCTAGCGAACAATTTCAAATGAATTCGAAATTTCATAGAATTGTGATCGATAAAATCTGAAAATCGTTTATGGTTTAAGTGGAATACTCCACAGCAGCATTTACGATGATTGGCATTTCGAGGAACACCATAAACAGGAAGTTTATATGTACCGTTATGTACCGTAATTCCAATAAGTACCTAACTCCGTTCAGGTTGGTCGAAGAGTTGAATATCAAGCCGATTTGTCGTGAAAGATCAGTAAATCGTTGCGTTGTGAAAAAATTCCGATATGATCTGAACTGAGAATCCGGACAGACTTTACCTCCAGTAGAACTTTAACAAAATTTTAATGCATAAGACTTAGTTTTTTTTAGGACGTAAACACGTTTTATAATTTTTTTTTTATAGCATGGATTTTATTACACGTTTTTATTTATGCGGTACGTGCCCCGTGTAAAAAAGCGTTGAGAGTATTACCTTAAAATTTCCTGAAGATCTCTCAGGAAATTTAACTTTGAGTTCTCCATAGCATTAACTTTGTATTATCCAGAAATTCCTATAGAACTTTTTTTAGGAATTCTTTTTAGTTTTCTCAGGGCTCTTCCTTTTTTTTTATTATAGTCACTTTAACACTCTTGGGTCATTCGTGACTTGTCTGTTGGTGAGATTTGAACTCGTGACTTTGTCGTGAGAGGTATGAATGTTAATAACTACGCCCCAGACATTAATTCTTTAAAATGCTCTTCACAATTTCCTTGTAGCTCTTCTTTTATACCTTGTACAGACATACAAAGTTCACTGCTGTACTATCGTTGTACTGCTTTCAGCCAGTACCACAAATTGTACGTTTTGAGGTACTGGATTAAAGAAGTACAACGGTACTAATTTGTATGTCTGTCTGTGGTATTAGAGTATTATCACTGGAACATAATTACAAATCCCATGAAATGTTTCTTGAAATGACTGGAATTCAATTCGCACGGAATTTTGCCCCGGAATGACTTTGAAATGCTCCTTAGTAAGAAATCAATTTTAATCATTCTTAGAAAGCACTTTGATTTTTTTTTTTCGCTTGAACATCCGTGCTTTTATTGTCTTCATCCATTATTTCAGCAGCCTTCCTTTGCAACGTTTCTTC